TATATATATATATATATATTCTTCAGCTGTAAGAACCTCTCGGTTCCTCGAAAGCAGACAGGAGCAGTCGATATGACGAGGCTGGGTTCGAAAATGGACCTCTCGGTCATCAATTCTGTGCCTTTCCCACTGAGCTATTTCGAGCTCGCATAGGGAGGCAATAGGTAGATACGAAGGGGAAATCAGCGTTTGCAGTAAAGATGACCGTGATGGTGCGCAATCTTCAGTACGTGGATACGAAGGGCTTCTGTAGTCGACCGGGCGAAGACGCTTCTACAAGGGTGGTAGGGGTATTTAGGATTTGTTAAGAATGAGACCGCTACGCACCCTTCAGTGATAAACTATACAGAGGTTGAATGTTGTCAATCGCTCACTGCGGAACAGGCTATGGAGACCCACGACAAGTCTGAGAGCTTTACTTTGTGCCTACACCAACCGTCTGTAGCCTCTCTTGCGCCATGGATCATAAGCCCTGACCGCATACTCGATTTTTCCCTCTTATGTGGGCTCATATTTCTTTTGAAAACCGCTTTTCCTATTGGTCTGAAGGTGCGGTGCGGGAGACGGAAGCACCGCTAGCGGTTGCAGTGGCCTTTAAGTACTCGTCTGAATTCTATGGATCATTACATGTGGACTGTAAAATTCTTTTCTTTACTGGGGAGTTACCTCACCATGAATGAAAGTGAAACGAAAATTTGAAAGTGGCAGTAATAGAAGGGGCATTTGGTACTTCTCGCTTTTGAATAAGAGAGCGTTGACAACCTAAAACGTATAAGCTACATCCGGATTTAACTCTAATGAGAGGCCCTTAAGAAATCAAATAGATCTTTGGGGCTTGATTTCGAGATCGTCAGTAAACAATTGACAATCGGAATTGAGGGCTGACGGCAGGCCACTGAAGGCACAAAAGAGCAAGGCAATCTTCATGGGGTAGTGGTAAGTATCTTCACATTGTTTCGCCCACACGGACAAAATTCGTTGGTCCTACTGGGTAACATGAAGTTGATTGCAGAACAGTGCCTCAACAGGCGACTGCACTCATGTGCAGAAGCTAAGCTCGTTAAATGTACCCAGGAAACCACCACAAGTCTGAATTCGTTTATATCTATAGTTTAGGCCCCACATGTATAAATGTCGGGCTTAAACTGCAATTAATGTCCGTTAACGTGTAGCTGGTAGGATAGCAATATAAGCCCGAAGCGATCCTACAAAATCACCCCAAATAAGCCAATCAGATTCGCGATGGTAGTCGCCAAATATGCAGTATGCACGCTATGGAAGCAACAGAGTACAGTGATTCTCCGAAGGCATGTGTTCACGGCCATTTCTGTGGGTGGAAAACAAAAAGGAAGCTCATGTGCTGAAGCCTGGTTAGCAAGGTTGTACATCACCATTTAGATCACCATATAAATCAATCAACCATATACTATAGCCCAACTATTCCATGGTGGGGAGGCGTAATGACCAATAACAGTTCAAGCTTAGATTGGCCGTAGTGTGGGCAAACAGCCAATCAGATTTCAGATGTCAAATTGACTTCACTTTCGTTTCAGCGGTCATCCTCATGTCTTGGCGTAATTACTCTGGTGATTCCACACTGAATGGGACAGGAACTAGACCCAGGCTCTGTTCTCCCTGGAACTCATCAACTACGGATATCATTGGCCCTGCCGAATTTCGAACTGCTAACATCCGGCATTCACGGATTCCCGGATTGATACACAGGATCGAGACTTTTGCCGAAGTTTCCCCGGTCGGTTTTGTTCTCGTCGTTCAGTGGCTGTCATTCACCTGAAAGGAGCAAGTGAAAAAAGGGTGTAGCCCTGCTCTTTAAGTTCTCAGCGCAGGGTAGTATGCTTGCCAGCGCGAGGACCCGCATAAATAAGTGTCTAATAGTGCTTGGAACTGGGTTCTAGAAGAGGAGAAGACAGTCGTCGGAGGAAGGCTATTCCACGCAGCTTCTAGCCGAAATCAGAAAAACATTTTGCCTAATGAATGTGTGTTCTCCGAGCTTGAAAATTTTCATGCGATGTCCCCGCCGTGTGTTTGCTGGGTCAATGGTGAAAAACCTGTTAGCCAGGCCCCTTTCAAACAGGGCATAAGTAACAATGAAGCCCCTTTGGAGGTTGCGATACTCCATGAGAAAGTGGTCAAGCATGGCGAGACGCACTTCGTAGTCCATGGACTTGAGGCCGGCAACCATTTCCGTGGCGGCTCGCTGGACACGCTCAACGAGGGTACGTCCTGAGTGGACAAGTTGATTGGCATATTCAAGAAGGGGTCTGACCTGGGTCCCTAGAATGTTTGGAAGTCCATGCGAGCAATACGGGAGAAGGTGCGCCGAATCAACCGTAGAACAGCGAGAACCTATTAGGCCTACTTCTCATGGTGCAGTGAGGAGGACGAGTTTGAAGAGAGCCAGATTCCCAAATCCTTTTTGACAAATGTCCCCGTGATATCTTCTGTTCCTTTTTCCCCGTGCATGATAAAGACATTCGTTGAGTTTCCTCCAAATGACATATGGATGCACTTTTCGTCATTCAGAGAAAGGTACCAGTCCAGAAACCACTGCTTTGCAGCGACTACATCCGTTTGGGGGGTACTGGCATTTGAACTCCACAATTTCAAGTGTTCCGCAAAAAGTAGACGTGGACGTGCTAGAACATCTGGGAAGTCGTTGGTGTAGATCAGAAGCAGCATTAGTCCAAAAACGGAACCCTGAGGAACTCCAATGGAGACCAGCGCCGGGTAAGAGTAGGTCGAGGCTGTTCTCGCTCAAAATTATCTGTCTGGTAGGAACAAGTTTATCCAGTGTAGGATTTTCCCTTGAATCCCGTAAGACTCGAGTTTGTGGAGCAGCGGGGCGTGTGGGATCGATCGAACGCTTTTGAGTAGCCAAAAACATGGCATCCGATATGAGTCCCTCGTCATTGGCTTGCGTGAAATCTTTCTCCCAAGAAACTTTCACACCCGACTGCGCCCCAGCAGCAACACCAGTGAATCTTTCAAGTTTTGACGGATCATGTTCCGCTTCTGCTTGAGTGGCACGAGGCTGCTAAAGTTAACGTGTTGTCTGCACCAAGTAGGTCTTCGGTATACCGACCATTCCAGTGTACTCTTGAGACATCGTTCAAGGCCAACATCTAGGAAGTGGAAAAAGTTATCTCTTTGCCCTTCCGAAGTGAATTGAATGGCAGTGTGGGGCTTATTGAACTGCTGTTGGAGCAATTCCAATTCGACTTCGTTGTTGAAAATAGCTATAATGTAGTCTACATATCGGTAGTACTATTGCATATTCTCTATACTAGCCTTTAAGTGACCATTTTCAAGCGTGCGCATGAAGATGTCGGCTGGCATTGAGCCAGGTAGTGATGCACTGGCAAGCAGTGAACGTCTCCTTCACTGAAACCAATAACCACATGTGTAACTACATAAAAGCAAACAATTTTCTGTTACGTATTCTAGTTAACGAATTGCGAGAACTCCTCCTGCGGTGCACATTAAATGTGCAACTACTGTTCACTGGCATGTTCTACCCTCAACAATGCAAGGGAGGGCAAAACACGAGGCTTCCTGCCCGACACGTGATAAGAAAGGTGTAACGGCGAAAAATGAGGAGCCAAAACATCAGGTCCAATGATGCAGCAGAGTCGGCGTCATCCAGTCGGTCACACCGAACTGAAGCTTGAAACCACCACTAAGACCTTGTGACCTTGGACCTTCGGGCTCGTGGCCAGAGTCTCAAAAAGCGTAAGTGGGGACGATGAAGTGGAGGAGTAGCAAAGCGGATAAGTGGTAACAGAAATCACAGGAGCATGGTTTACAGGGAAACTGTAGAGACTGGCCGGTGTCGCTGTTGTGGAGTCGCGCATAATATTTCCTTGAAAGGGTGATAAGATGGCAACACAAGAGTGGGACCACGAACAGTGTAGAAGGCTACTTAATTTTGCCGGAGGCACAGACACACAGAAATGGTTAACTTCGAACGAAAAATTCAGCAGATTGGAATGAAGATATCATGGGGCAGCTTGGGTCCGGTGGGGAATTTGTCGTATTTGAAGTTAATGGAGGACTGGGCAAGAGCGTGAGGTCGAGAGAAGAAGGGAATAGTTGCGGGTGTGCTAGCAAACTGGGTATGGCAGTGCTGTGCCTGACATCGGTTTTGGGCAGCCCCCTGACGGATGTCACATTCAAGGTCATTTGGCTGGGGTGGGCGATTCTTCGGGCATCGTGATTCTCTTCAGACTGACCGAGGAAACAAGGTAGAACAAAGCCAATATAGGATCGTAGGTTTTTTGGTCCGTTTGGGGATCCTGTGGTTGTAGATCATCAGCCATTCGGATTAGATGGCAGCCAACCAGGTCGTCCAAACCGGGCATCACAGAAGTTCAAAGTTTGGGAAGATGAGGGGATGGAATGAGATCAGTAAAGCATCGTGAGTTTGAGGAGATATCAAATGGGATAATGTGCATTACTATACATGGAAAGAAGAACTTGACTTCTTCCGCGATCACGGTGATGACAATGAGTGATTGTATGGAATAGGATAAAGACTGACTTGTACTTAGTTGGCTAGCGACCGAATGTTGGGTTTGCTAACAT